CGATGGCGCCCACGGACGATTGATGGGATAGTGGTGATAGGAAACCGAACAAAAGGAGTTGCAATATGATCAGATGGCTACTCTTGGTTGCTGGCACTGGGGTATCTCCAATTTATTGTAGGAAACACGCAAGTCATAGTGGGCGTAGTTTTGCGGAGTCTCCTCGGGCACGTGCGCAGTGCTGTCACCGCGACATTTGACGTCGCGACCGAGTCGACACAGTTCACACGATAATTTATTTATTTAGTAAAAAAAATGTTTCTCGCTAATCGATTGTCTCAAATTAGAATTTATTACGAATTGGATGGACCAATGAGTTGTTGATTGAATATATATGGGTCTCTGATCAATATCCACTATGATTTCATAATTTCAACGTTTTGGCGTCCATTATGTGCGTATGCCGCGAAAAATAGAGTTCACGAACACGCCCAGTTCAACTTCCAATTGGGTAAAATATTCAAAAATTTGAAAATCCTCAGTTGGGATTGGGTATTGATGCTTCCATCGTGATACAAAGTGTTTAGTATCAATACTGATCACCTTGATTCACAGAAAGGGAAACCTTTAGGATAACTGACAAGTGGTAATTCAATGGATCTTACCCGTGTAGATATCACAAGGAGTCATTATGTCGAGCTTGACCTTTAATGCAGCACTTTGGGGGAGTAAGAGCAATACATGTGGTATGGGAGGGTAAAAAATCAATAAACCAAAAACTCACTGATGAATGACCTGGAGGCGATCATCCACCAGTTGCCTAATATGGACTTTGTGTCACCATTTTATTTTGGGATGTAACCCGATGACAAGGATTCTCCCTTATGTTATTATATTATGTGGGAGTAATCGTGCCGATATGGCTGCTCAAAGTCGAATCTACAGCCCATAAGAACAATATTGGAAGCCATAGCAGCCTTGATGATCAAATAATTTATCGAGGTGGGAATGTGGGGAAGGGAAAGTCACCCAGTGATTTGCATTATCTCCCAATTGGGTAATGTCGATCTAGATTCCGATTCCACCATACTGGAGTCCTTCAGTGGAGGTTGATAAATACTTAAGTGTTCGAAAGCTTGTAGATGCCTATTTGAATGTATATTACGAGACTGTAGGTGACACCACGTTTCCATTTTTGGCTTTTTTGTGACATTGGCTCGCCAAATGGTAGCCGAGTGGGGTGGCAACCCTCTCGTCAAAAATGGCAAGCGATGAATATTGACAGAAAAATGACTGACAAGTTCCCAAATGTTGACCATTCGACCATTTTTGGGAGTCACTATTTATCATGGACTATTGGTTGTGGCACAACCACAGTGAGAAAGTACGGATGTCCATTGCATCCGTGTTTGGTTAAGGTTGCCTCATCCTGTAAAGTGCTGGCCTTGGTGCGACAGGTCAGCGCCAAATGCAAGAAACCGGATCAGAGTCCGATCGGGCAAGTTAAAGGGCGGGGAACTGTTTGTGGTTACTTGAGGAGCAGGACTGGGAGGTCAAGAGGATCGGAGACACGAAGATGATAGAGTGGTAATTTATTGAATTCCTCACAGGCGGAGTGTCCAGCAAAGGTCAAGGGACGGGTATATAACCGGTTGGTAGCCTTTTCTGACAAATATCGAGAAACAGGGTCAAGTTGACGAGGAGGTTCTGCGAAGAGTATGATACCAAGGATGCTTGCGGGTATTCTGACCATGGCTGTGCATCTAGAATTCCTAGGGGGCAAAGGCACACCACCCAATTTGCCGCGGTTAGGGAATCATAGTAGCTCATTTGCCCCTTATGTGGCATGGTTCATGACACCAATCTTATCCTCAGCGGCATCTCCAAGTACTTTGTCGAGGGCAATGCACTCTCGTCACTCAAACTTCAACTCGCCAAACATCGGGGCATTTCCAGGAGGCCTCAACAAGGTTAGGCCCGGTCTCTGCCAGAGAACCACCAGAGGCGGCTGACGCCAGCCAACCAGCCAACAAGAGTGGCTGTCTGGCAGAGACCAGACCTATCCTTGTCGGTGCATAGCGGGCCTTGTCTAAGGGCGCCTTATGCACCGAGGGACACACGCTACCGTGTCCTTAGGCAGGCGACCAGGCACTGCTAAGCACGCCCTTAGCGTTGTGTTAGGATAGCGGGGGGCACCGGGCTGCTGTGGGCTGGCCTTTGTGCATCCTATGGGTATGCACAGCAGCGCCAGACAGCCTTTGGACCACGCCCACAGGACAAGGGCTCCTTCCTAACAAGCCGCTGAGGGTGGTGGGTCGGTCGTGTTCACCACCACCTTTCCCCCAGAGGTCCAGACCACACCAAGAGAGTGTGGACGTGGCTTGTGTGGGTGGGGGAACACGTCCTGTGCGTGGCGCCTACCACCTGTAACGGGACTGGGTACTGGACTGGAAATGGACGGACTGAGGCGAGCGAGTTGAGCCAGGGTTGCTAGGAGTATGCCGAATATGTCATCTCGCCGGTTTATTTTCGGCGGGAGACGCATTGCATTTACAACCCTGAGGGGTATAGGACCAGCTTGCCTGCACTCCTTGGGGCTTGTTGATTTCCATCGGGATGTCTTCCGGGTTGTCCTGGCGCTCCCTGTCCGCGTGCCCGTGACACCACTTTGGGCCCGTGTCCGGCACTCTATCGCGCCCTCATTCCTTGATTATCCTGCCAAGTCTTTGCTCCACAGTCAGAACCTACTCAGAACAGCAACCATTCATTTGTTGAGAAGGCGCATAAGTAAGCTACAATTCATTTAAATGGATCGAAGCCATCTCGGAATCTTCTACGGTGCACAGCACAGATGCTAAGGCAACCTGAAAAAATTCCCTTGTTCGTGGATTGGCTTATGTTCGATAGAGTTCGAATGACGGAGAGACAATATACAGTGGCTTCCAAAAGTGTTCCAATGTTTTGGTAGTCCGAATGTTATGAACGCGGTCGCCGATCATACGACGCGTCATTCATGACCCGCGCTGCATGGCCACTCGGGCGTGATTCATGACCGTGGGAAACATAGGTCGGAGCTCGAATATATTCTCCGCAGGGCGAGCAGGGGAGGGTGAGGCATAGACTTAAATAGAACACCCCGTCCCCTCCGGGATGAACGCTAGTGAATTATCACCTCAATAAACGATCATCACTCTCCTTGCCAGCCCCTGTTCAGCCCTGCCCCTGCTTCCTTGTTCTTGCCCTCGGTTCCTCAGTCCTGCCCCTGCCCAGTTCCTGACACCGAACAGAAAAAACTGTATCTCCCTCGGAATGCCTCGGAACAACCTTCAACTTTGCAAGCAGGTCACCTGACATCTTGTGCGTATGTTGGCAAGTATGGTGACACGATTCCTATAAATGGCTAAAATACCAAAGTTCGAGTCAACTCCAAGCAATGGAACACTTTTTTGACCCTGTGCAATATGACCTTCTTGGTTCACTGGATTTGCATTTACTGGTATTCCTGTGATTGGAATGACTCCAAACTTTCTAGATGCTATCTACACGGGCAGATACCATATCTGACAGGATTTGATTACGTGACAACATCATCTCCCCTACGTAAGCATTGTGCATCTTAGTAGTCAATAGTAGGGTTCGAATTTCTGTCACATGATGGTTATTGCAGCAATTTGAGGTATCCAACTTCCTGGGACATTTGAAACAGTTGTGAAACTCAATATTGTCACATATATTGACGTTTTGGAGGTGGATATATTTCAGCATATCGTATTTTTGGGTTTTTGGCCTTCAAACAAATTGTGCTCAATTGCAACTAACGTCACCAATTCCAATCGTAACCACTCCAAATCGTCATTAAAATCTTCAAGATAACTGCTCAGTGATATCCATGGCCGTTAATTGGTTGGGGATATTCAATTGGACCTCATTTCGTTGGAAACACACATCATACCTCACATGATATTTCGTTGATCCACACCCAATTGTGTATCCCTCACAATACACGAGGCCCATAAGCCCCAAATTGCTCACATAGGGTCTAGAGTGTCACAGAAGCATGATAGAAAAGATTTGGAGTGATTGGATGTTGGTTGTTGCTTTGCACAAGTGGACGGGGTAAATGGTCGATTGGAGGGGATTGGCAAAATAGTAATTATCGACACACACGTCCGACAAACTTAACCAACTACCCTTGAAGCGATTCCGAACACAGTGGAACGGTAAGAAGAACACTATTTGTACATTTTTATGGCAAAACAACTTCGATAGCTCACGATGGGGGACGGCAAATCAAATTTTAGTGAGCATCCAAAGGGATGTAGTAAAGTAGGTTTGACCATATGACATATATTTTAGTTCTAAAATCACCAGGAATGATCCAAAAGGCTGTTCCATGTCCGAAGCATAATAATTGACAAAAAATGGTAATTAACTGTTTTCATTGAACATATGGCATGATTACAAAAATGGCATCATACGATTATGATGCCACCAATTGAAGTTGCTTCAAGTGGAAGCAACACATAATTGGATGATTGGAATATGGTCATTGAGCTATTTGAAGGATATTTGTGTAATTTGGTGAGGTTTGGATCATGAATTTGGCATCTAATCGAGAGGTAGGATCATCTGTGGTAAGGGTCAAAAAAGTGTTCCATTGCATGGAGTTGACTCGAACTTTGGTATTTTAGCCATTTATAGGAATCGTGTCACCATACTTGCCAACATACGCACAAGATGTCAGGTGACCTGCTTGCAAAGTTGAAGGTTGTTCCGAGGCATTCCGAGGGAGATACAGTTTTTTCTGTTCGGACTACCAAAACATTGGAACACTTATTTGAGCTACTGTAGCCGAGGAGCAGATAAGGAAATGGTGCGCGCTCCTGTATGACTCTGGGCGGGTCAACGTCTCAGGCTGCCGCACATATTAACCTGCCCCTCGCCCAGCTCTTCTTGAGATCATCTGAAAATATAGTGGCCTTGGCTACAAAGTGGGACTTGAGAGGGAGAGTGCCTTGCGGAGGAGAGTCTTGAGATACTGAGGAGCTTCAGCCGAAATGATTGGAGAGCCTCCGTTGGCGAAGAATACTTGACGTCCGGCCAGGGTTTCGTCCTCCTCGTTCAACCCAGTCCAAACGTCACCCATCTCCAACAGAATCTCACAAGCAGCCACAGCAAAGGAATGAACATCGGTACAAAAGTTCGGACGAATGGGGTTGGTCGGGCGCACTCTCTCCGGGGCCATATAACTCAAAGTCCCATACAAGCCGTACTCATGAGTAAGAGGTATCTCGGCTACAGCGGATTCATTCTTACAGAGATTGAAAGAGCAGGTGAAATCACAAAGCAGAAGGTGGTGGTCGTCACTGACCAGGGTGTGGTGGGGTTCCATGTCTGAATACACCATTCTGTTGCTGTGAATATATGCCAATCCCTCTGCCCTCTCAAGGACCCAACGAATCTTTGTATCAAGGGGGAAGGGTGTTGTGCGTGAAGAAATGAAACGAGCAAGGTCTCTGTTCTGCCGGTAAGGACTCAAACAAACTGGGTAACCACATCGAAGAATAGAAACCGCCTCAAGCTCCAGTATTCTGGAGTGCTTAAGACGGCACCAAACATCAGCCTCCCACTGAAAACGGAGAACGTTGGGTCTCTTCTTTTCCTTGCTGGGCAGGGGGCGCTCCCTTTCCTTCTCCCTGGGTGTGGTAATGTGTTTCGTACATACCACTTTGCGTTGTTCAGTTTGGAAAAAGTTATAACCACGACGTCGGTTTCGTTGAGAGGATAGGAGCGCCAGCGGGGGTAGCAAGAAACCTGCTTCGAGGGGACGACAGGATAGTCGATCCACAGCTGGGTTATTTCATCATATAAGTGTTTACGGGGCATTCTTAAAAAAACGGGGGAGATGGGGTGAGAGGACGGTGTGGGCTCTGGCGTTTCGCGTTTTTACGTTTTGGCCCTCCCGGAATATGGCACCAGGGTGTCGGGTAACTTCGAGTATGCCCTGCCGAGTAACTCCGTCAGATGGCGATTGGCCGAGTTGATTATACCGGGAACCCTTGACACACGAGGTCGTGGGTTCGATTGGGCAAAAATATTTTCATTTATTTCATTTCTGGGCTGCGCCACATCAAACCAGTGGACGAGTCGTAATTTAATTTTGGCTTTGTATCTCTTCCGGTGCCTGCCGGGGGGTGGCTGCCAAGTACGGGTCCCGCCCTCGTTCTCCCTTTTACAGGTGCTCAAACAATTGTTCGAATGTTCTGTACCTTTGACTTTCCAATGGTAAAACTCAGTGAATATCCTTCCGAACGGCCCCAAATTTGACACACAGATTCTCAAGCCACTTATTCACGTGTCAGTTGAGTATCGTTACACCAAAGCTTAATCAGCAAGTTTGGCTGGAGTTCGAATCCCAGTGGTGTATTCGAACAATTTTTTGACCCTTGCCGTTTTGATCATCCATGGCCACTTGCGACCCAGTAGGTCCATTTTGAATGATCATATCTTCATGAAACTTTATAGATGGTATTCCAAAGATGTCTGCTTCTGTTTTTATGAAGTACAAATGTGTTGATTGGGTGAAATTGTACCGTTTGATAGTCCGGTAAATGATCTTTGTGATGACCGTGCAACCCGCACCAAAGGCCCCGAAGTGAAATTTTTCTCAACAAAAACGTAAGGAATCACGTTTCCAATGTCTTTGGAAAAAAACTTAGTAATTTGATAAATTATTGATGAAGTTCAGTTTGAGGGGTCGTGCTTCTGGGAATACAGTGGCTCCAAAAAGTGTCCCAATGTTTTGTGGTTTCGCCTTTGATTCCCTCCCCATTGCATGTTTATGATTCGATCAGCCCCATATTTTGCAGCCTGGATGTCCTGCTTCACTATCATCACTTTCCCAAATCTTGTAACACAATCTCCAAAAATGGAAGCATGGCACCAGTTCGAACCCAACACAGTCATTGGGACACTTCTTTGACTCTTACAATTTTCACCCTCCAAGTGCACTTGAGGGACTGTATCTCGTCCCAAAATGCTCCATTCTCTTTGAAACCTTGCACAGAGTCTCCATACATACTGTGCATGCCTGAGCCTGAAGTGAAAGTGTTTGGTATGACAGAATTCCAAGTTGCAATATTGGCCAATAGTAACATTATGTTGGAACCCGTACTTTCAAAATCTTGATGGAATCATCGTTTTATGACTGGAACATGTTCTCGGCATCATTTTGAGATGTATTGCATAATCCTTAGTGTTCTCAATGCCATCCGGAGATGGTTTACTTATTTTTGTATTTATTCATGGTGAGCCCAAATAATATCGTCTTCGCCGTATTCATGTCAAAACCAAAGCTAACCTCCCAATACTTGACCCAACGGTAGATCGAAGAGCCTGAATTGGTATATGATGTGTAAAAAAATCTTTTGGGGATCACGACGATTGGATATCAGGAAATCATCGATTTGGATGGAATTGTGATACTGACATGATCTTCGGAATACGGTGATTAAATTGGAATCAAGTAATGAGGTATATGAGCGTTTCAATTGCATACGTTAGTGACTTATGCAGAATGCTCAATATTGGACATTAATACAGATCAAATATTTTGCGATTTGAATGCCCAATGGAAATCGTATTGGATTCTGATGATTTGCGGTATTGACTATCATGTGGTGGTGTTATTTTCCACCATATATTGTATTATATCGATCATAATTACCAAATATCTGATTGAAAGTGGTTTATCGGAATGTGCCATCCAGGGTGGCCTCATCAGATATCGACCCGGAACCCACCTCAATGATGGTTGTATCTATGTATAAAATCCCAAAATGATGCCGAGAACATGTTCCAGTCATAAAACCAGTGATTCCATCAAGATTTTGAAAGTACGGGTTCCAACATAATGTTACTATTGGCCAATATTGCAACTTGGAATTCTGTCATACCAAACACTTTCACTTCAGGCTCAGGCATGCACAGTATGTATGGAGACTCTGTGCAAGGTTTCAAAGAGAATGGAGCATTTTGGGACGAGATACAGTCCCTCAAGTGCACTTGGAGGGTGAAAATTGTAAGAGTCAAAGAAGTGTCCCAATGACTGTGTTGGGTTCGAACTGGTGCCATGCTTCCATTTTTGGAGATTGTGTTACAAGATTTGGGAAAGTGATGATAGTGAAGCAGGACATCCAGGCTGCAAAATATGGGGCTGATCGAATCATAAACATGCAATGGGGAGGGAATCAAAGGCGAAACCACAAAACATTGGGACACTTTTTGGAGCCACTGTATTCCCAGAAGCACGACCCCTCAAACTGAACTTCATCAATAATTTATCAAATTACTAAGTTTTTTTCCAAAGACATTGGAAACGTGATTCCTTACGTTTTTGTTGAGAAAAATTTCACTTCGGGGCCTTTGGTGCGGGTTGCACGGTCATCACAAAGATCATTTACCGGACTATCAAACGGTACAATTTCACCCAATCAACACATTTGTACTTCATAAAAACAGAAGCAGACATCTTTGGAATACCATCTATAAAGTTTCATGAAGATATGATCATTCAAAATGGACCTACTGGGTCGCAAGTGGCCATGGATGATCAAAACGGCAAGGGTCAAAAAATTGTTCGAATACACCACTGGGATTCGAACTCCAGCCAAACTTGCTGATTAAGCTTTGGTGTAACGATACTCAACTGACACGTGAATAAGTGGCTTGAGAATCTGTGTGTCAAATTTGGGGCCGTTCGGAAGGATATTCACTGAGTTTTACCATTGGAAAGTCAAAGGTACAGAACATTCGAACAATTGTTTGAGCACCTGTAGGGTTCCGCTCCATCGCCCTCATCTGTCCGGTCAGTAAGCACCACTCCCCTTGCATTGCTACTCCCATATGGACACCTCGCGAGGTCGTTTGGCATTTGAGTCTCGGTTGTGGATACTCGGCATGCATGTTGGATGCAGGCTTGTTTGTAGGCCAACCTGCTGAAGAGTTCAGTTGTGACCTCACCGTCACCACTGTTTGCTTCGTCGATATTCGGGCCGAGACAGCGAATTTTTCGAACCTCTCCTCTTCCTGGTGACCATGTCTGTCGTTGGCGTAAACAGCAGGATGCCTTACAAGCCGATTGCTGAGTGCTTGCCTCATGTTCTCAGAGGTTTGAGCCTGCGATGTCCGGAGCTCTTGTTTGGATGCAGGCGTTTCCCCTTTTGATCATTCCTGTGAAGCCCACCCACAGGCTACGGTAAAAAGTTACCTGTGAGTGGGTTTGTTTGGCATCGAGGGCTCGGGACTCGGGTACTATGGGGGCCATATACAGAATGGACTCAGGGACCCCTTCCAATATCGCTTTGACTCTGGATGGCTGGTGACAGCCTTGCTTATGTGTTCATTGTTACTGAAGATAAGGTTTCCCGCGACAAGTGCCAGGGGGGAAGCGCCAAGCATCATTTTGCTGTCGTCGTTGCAGTAATCTCTGACTTCTGATACTCTGACCGGCATTTACACTCTGTCACAACCCTCTAGGAACACTTTGAAGATTGGATTCTGTGGAGTGTGATGGGGATGGTGGAAGGTCGGTCAATAGATTCAATCAAAAATAGCTTCCATTACATACTTTCGCTCGCATGGGGCGTGAGATGAGTGTTCCAGTGGTGATTCTGAATGAGAGGCATGTGTCGTGGATTGGTCTGTGTGTGGGGAATGTCACTTCCCCGATGTCTGTTTCGTTATGAGTGGGTATCGGATAGGAGTGAGTAGTTCACCTGGTGAACTTGGGTCAGCATGGCTTGCTATGGCAACGCTTGTGTCATGAACCGGCCGGGCCCTAGCCCTCCTGGTTCATACAGGTACTCACTGCGCCACGATCACTGCGCCATGATCACTGCGCCGTGCCGCAGCGACTACGCTTTTCTTCTCTTCCTTCGTTCATCCACCCCACAGACGAAGATATAAACCCGCCTTCGGCCTACAGGTTTAGATCTTCGTCTCACCTCCTGTATTGTAGTTAGGAGTGCACTTGGCACTCTAATACATTGGTTAGTCATTACGCTTGTGCCTCTTGCTGTGTGCCGTGAGGATGTTAGAGTCCAAAGGGGACTCAACGGCAAAAGAAGAAGTGAGCTCGAAGTGAGCTCAGGGAAGGCAAGGGTAAAGTCCGAAGTGGACTCGGAGAGGGAGCGAGGGAAGCAAAGATCCGTTCAAGATAAGACTTGTCTCGAAATGAGACGTGAGGAACACTCAGAGAATAAAGTAGAAGGCACTTTATTTAGTCCTATTTTGAACGCTAAGGTTCGACTACACATCGCGGGGGTCAGGCTATTTATAGACAAGTCCGGACTTGGCAGCGCAGGGCGGCCAAGGGAGGGAAAAGTGGGCGATCGAGCAGGGCGAAGGGGGCGATGCACAAGCGAGGGCCGAGAAGGACCACCGAGACAGGCAGAGAACCAAAGCGAGAGAGGCGCAAGCAAAAGCGAAGCACCTGGCAGGAGAAACGTGCAAAGGCGAAGCAATGTGACTCAACATCCAAGAAGCGGATTGGTCAAAGAAAAGATTGGGGTGAGCGCATGCGAGATGAACAAGAGATCGGGGCGGTCAGGCAGGTCATGAGTCACCGGTGGGGGA